TGCGCCTATAGTCCCAGCTACTTGGAGGCTGCAACAGGAGGATTGCTTGAGCCCAGGAGTTTGAGGTTGCTGTGAGCTATGATCATGCCACTGCACTCTGCCCTGGGCAACAGAGGAGACTGTCTCAAAACAAAAAAAAAGAGGTCTCATCTATAATGCTTGATTTAACTTTATTTTTAGTATTTTTTTCTATGTAAGTACCAATCCATAAATAAAGTTTCTAAAGAAACCTCTACCAACTTGGTTTGTCAATGTATTAATACTGAATTTACCTCCTTTAAAGCAGTTGGAACTATCTGCTACATAAATTTCAGTTTCACCCAAAGAAGGGGAAGAGTGAAATTTGTAAGTAGACGATTACAAAAAAAATAAATAAATAACACATAATAAGGAACAGCTGGTTCTAGTGAAAGGAGCCAGGACTTTTCCAGTCAAACTGACCTGGGTTTGAATCCTGGTCCTGCTTGCAGCAGGTGCTTATATGATCTGGACAAACGACATTAACTCTTTAACCTTGATTTTCTCATCTGCAAAACGCTAATACTCTTAAGGACACTGACAATTTTTAAAAATGCACATAAATTTTCTGACCAGTGATTTATTTGCCCAACAAATAACTTATTACAAATTCCCAGTGAAAAAGCCTTGAGGCAAGAGTGAAAAAACTAATTATAATGAATCCGTTACTTGGCTAGTAGGCAAACAGATAGTCTGATTAGAAAAAAAAAATCACAGTAAAAAATATGCCCAGATAGGTTCAAAGTAATTATGAACTGCCTTCCAAACACCATTGTTTTGCCCCTGCCTGCAAGAATAGGAAAAACAAAGGGACTACTAGGTGGCACTGTGGCAAAAGCAAACACAAGAGTAGTGCACCTTGGAGGTTTTTTACATGTACTGGGTTTATGTGCTCTTTGTTGGTTTACGAAAATAAATTTTAAATACCTTCAGTGTCTAAGACGGGTGTCAAAGGAAGCTGCGGAGTTCCAGGGAAAGGGGAGAGAGCTGATTACTAATCAGTGCCGCGAGGCTATTAAAGGGCCATCCAGAACCCATCTATTCCTTATGAGTAAAAAAGTAACAATAAAAGAACACCCGTGTACCCACCATTCAGTTTAAAAATCTACTCTTTCCTCTAACCGAGATGAGGGACCAGATGCGCGCTGCCGCTTGGCCGCCAGCTGGGCCCTGCAGAGGGCCTTGCCAGACAATGAATCAGCTCCTGGAGGGGCGTCCAAGCCCGCCCCACCAACCCCGGAGCTATAACTGCACCTGCAAGCCCCCCGGCGGGTCACGTGACGAGGGCACGCCACTCCTTCTCAAGGGCCGGGGAGTCACGTGGGCGAACGGCCCCGCCCCGTCGCGCGGTCCGCGGCAAGGTGGGGCCTGGGGTTTGCCCCGGAAGTGGCTGTCTTCAGCTGACAGCTGCTGATAAGGTGGCGGCGGCGGCAGCGGCTGGCCTGGAGCAAGATGGCGCTGCGGCCGGGAACGGGATCTGGCGGCGTCGGGGCCGCGGGAGCTGGCGCGGGGACCGCCGGGGGAGGCAGGTGAGTGTGAAGAGCCGCATTGGAGCCCAGTGGGTTCCCCTGACCTCTGCCGCCGACGCAGGACTGTCCTCCGCAGGGGCGAGGGGTCCTTGGCAGTTATGGCGGTTTTCACCAGCTCCGACCCTCTTCCTTGGAACTGGGCTGCGGGAGAAAGGTCGTCCTCCGGGGGAGCAGCTGGAGCCTGGCGCCCGACGCCGACGCCTGTGTTTCAGGCTCGGCGCACCGGCTGCCTGGGGTTCAGCGGGGAGCGGGCGCGCGCCCCGGCGCGGAGACGGGAGAAGGAGCAGGGGAGTGTCCGCTCGGCGGGGCTGGCTAATCGGGGAACCCGGACCCCTCTTTTCTAGTCCTGGCTGCATCTGAAGCGACCAGGTTCCCCTTTCCCAGGGCTTTCTGAGCTTCACAAGAGATGCTGGAGGGAAGGCTCTGAAACATCCGCTCACAAAGCTGGAGGAACTGTTTCCAAGATGTGTGTGTAGGATTTGTGTCTGCCGCTTTTACAGTGTCCTGTCCTGTCCTCCTCTTTATTATTTCGTTAACACATGACATACAGCAGGAAAGTCTGAAGGCCTTTGAATTAGTAATTGCCTTGAGATAGAGCTCTTGGCTTGTAGGTGTTAACTCTTGAGACTTGTTAAAAAAGCATTTTAAAACAAACAAAAAAAAATCCACTGTTAAACAGCAGTTTCGCGTATATTAGAACGAAGCTTCCAGACTTTTACTTAGATCTTAAACAAATTTGCCCTCTGTCATATTTGAGCTAATAACTGCCTGTGGTTCTTATGCCCTGAATGGTAAAGGAGATGTACACTTGCAACTTGACAAGTTCAGTATCATATAAGGAAATATTTTATTCCAGAAAGTTTTCACCCCACTTCTTTATAGAAGTGACCTCGTCTGATTTTGTTGTAGTAGCCGACACACATTCGGGGGTAAAATTAGCCTTTTAGCTTCAGTATCCTAAATTATCTTTGGAAAACGAAGTGTTAGTTTTTTGATATGCAGTTTTAATTTTGGAGTTATGAACACTACAAAAGTGTAAGGTCTTTAAAGTTATCACCTCTTGCAGGTGCTTGCTTATGTATATGCTAGGAAACGAGCAGTTGCCGTTCAATGAGTCACCTGTGTGCAGCCCCATTTTCCATTTCCTCTGTATACCTTTGACTTTAGATTTAAAACTTTTTGCATTGTCTTTTGTTCTGTTTCATTAGAGTTTTTCATAAATATTTGGTATAAGTCATTTTCTGGCTGGAGAAGAAAAAAGCAATAATCTCGCCTCTGTTTCTTTTCTGTACATGATGACAGTTTCTAAAATGTTCCTGAGTGGCATTAATTTGATTAAGTATATGATTTATCATGGCACCTAGTTCTGGGAAAATGTAAACTTAAGAAGAATTTGATATTCTGGGCCCAAATTTTTATTTACTTTTTAAAAACATGTTTTTGGGTGGAGAAGGCCTCAGGTGCAGAAAGTTGAGTGGACCATTCCCTCATTTAAATGGAGAAAATCCATGAACTAGAACTAACCATATTTCATACATGCGTCTCTCTATTCCAAGAGACTAAGCAAAATGCAGTAGCATTTTCCAGATTTAACATTAGCCTATTTGATTGATATCGTGAATGGGCTACTTTAGAATAAATGGTAGAGTTGTATAAAGGGCAGAAGTTTCCCAAGAGATGAGAAGTATAATTTTTTTTTAATCAAGTAAGGCAGAAAAAAAGAGTTGAAAGATCTGTACTGGTCTGTAATCATTCAACTGGTAGTTCTCGAATGCTTATATAAGTAAGGTACTGTTCTTAATGCACCATAATGAATTAAAAAGATATCCAAGACATGGCCCCCATCCTAGGAGAATGCACAAAATAACTGGTACAAAGTGAAGAACAAAGAGGTCACGTCCTTCTGGGGTATTATCATTTGTGAGCTTGTCCATTTTTTCTTGCTCTTCTATGGCTCCCTCATATTCCACTGCTTTTAGGACATTTTTGCATATAGAAAACATTCTGTAAATATTTGTGGATTGCAGCTATATTGAAGGCAAAAAAATGGTATTTCAGCTAGGCAACTGAGGTGGAGGAAGAGGAAGAAGTCAAGAGACTGTCCTAGAAATGGGAAGGCCTAGTGAACACTAGGGGAACGACATACCTGCAGTGCCAGATTGTGGCACTGAGTGGGGGAGAAGAATTTTGTCATTTAAAACTGAGAAAGTCGTGCCAAAACTAGAGAGGGCCTTGAGTTTAAAGTAAGGAAATTCATGGTTTTAACTCCAGGAGTCATCTTCCTAAAGGACCGTTTAATAATGGTTGTTTAGGATGATGCATCTCACCTGTGCTGCCTGAGATGCATTAGAAACCAGAGAGTCTGGAGGTGGGGAGATCCATTGGAAGTCTTTATGTAGGAGTCTAGGCCTGAGAAGCCAAGGCCAGTAGCAATTCTAGGTTAGCAGCAAAGGTAACTGAAAAGGAGGCATGATGAGACAGACATGTGATAAGTAGAGCTCACCGATCTGCTTTCATACTGAAACATCAGTAATACAAGAATTAGTGGTTTTACCTTTGAAATCAAATTGTTGGTCATCTTGCTGCCCAGTTTTTTGCCAAGCTTCGGCTGTCTTACCAATGTCCGAGCTACCTGTCTAACCAGTCTTTAAGCATGTTGATTGGTATTAGTTGTCTGAATATTTTAGAGACTCATGTGAATGGTACATAGGTCACTAAGCAGTTTGGTTTGCTAAATTTTTACTACAGTAAGTCATGTTTGTCAGTAGTGTTAATTTGTTTTTATTTTGTTTCGTTTTCAAAGTAACTTTTATACATCTATACCTGTATTCTTGTCTATGTGGTTTACTTAGTTGGAACCTTGGCAAACTTTTGGTTCTGTGTCCTCATTTGACAGAGGACAGGGTATTAAGGGGATTGCATGGCCAGGGGAATAAGGGGGATTGCATGGAACTTCACAGTTACTTTATGGCAGAGCTGGAAAAAAGAAAATAGAATACAAGTTTCCAGTTTTTACTAAGCCATACTGGTAATTTGACACATTGACTGCGACACTAGAAAAAAAATTTTTTTTCCTTGGGGCCACAGTGTTTTATTACAAAAATAGAATAAAAACTTCTAAAACAAAACGATCTTTTCTAATTTAATGAAAAATTTGTTATTGTTTTCTGTGCGGGAGTAATATGCAACTTGAAAAATAGTTCACCCGGCTCCCAAGGTGAGGAGACATGAGTTACATATGCCTCATCCGGCCCCGGGCTCAAAACTAGTGTGAGTTAAATATAACTCATGTGGCAGTTAATGTGTTAAATCTTTAAGGCTGATTTTTAAAAATCTTGACAGGTTGGTTACTTAAATGCATTCATTGCTCCTAAATTTGCCCATCTTAGTATATAAATAATGTCTTTAAAAACTGAGTATAGTCATACCTCATTTCATCGCGCTTCACAAACATTGCTTTTTTTATATAAACTAACAGTTGTGGCAACCCTGCATCGAGCGAGTTTATCGGTGCCATTTTTCCAGCAGCATGTGCTCATTTCACGTCTGTGTCTCATTTGGGTAATTCTTGCAATATTTCATACTTTTTCACTATTATCTGTTATGGTGATCTGTGACTCGTGATCTTTGATGTTGTAATTAATTTGGGGTGCCAGAAACCCCACCCATGTAAGACCGCAAACTTAATCGATAAGTGTTTATGTGTTCTGACCATTCTACCACTTGCTGTTCCCCCATCTTTCTCCCTCTCCTCAGGCCTCCCTATTCTCTGTCACGAAACAATATTGAAACAAGGCCAATCAATAGCCTTGCAATGGCCTCTGAGTGCTCTAGTGGAAGGAAGAATTACACATCTCTCACTTTAAATCAAAAGCTGAAATTATTAAACTTAGTCATTAATCATGTTGAAAGCTGAGAGTGGTCAAAAGCTAGACCTCTTGCACCAAACAGCCAAGTTGTGAATGCAAAGGAAAAGTTCTTGAAGGAAATTAAAAGTGCTACTCCAGTGAACACAAGAATGATAAGAAAGTGAAACAGCCTTATTGCTGACAGGGAGAAAGTTTTAATGATCTGAATAGAAGATCAAACTAAGCCAAGCATTCCCTTAAGCCAAAGCCTAATCCAGAGCAAGGTCATAATTCTTCAATTCTATGAAGGCTAAGAGAGGTGAGGAAGCTGCAGAAGAAAAGTTGGAAGCTACCAGGAGTTGGTTTATGAGGTTAAAGGAAAGAAGCAGTCTCTATGATATAAAAGTGCAAGGTGAAACAGGAGGTGCTGATGGAGAGGCAATAGCAAGTTATCCATAAGATCTAGCTAAGATAATTGATGAAGGTGCCTTCACTAAACAGATTTTCAATGTAAACAAAATGGCCTTCTGTTGGAAGAAGATGCCATCTAGGACTTTCATAGCTAGAGAGAAGTCAATGCTTGACTTCAAAGCTTCAAAGGACAGGCTGACTCTCTTGTTAGGGAGACTCATGCAGCTGGTGACTTTAAGTTGAAGCCTGTGGTCATTTACCATTCCTAAAATCCTTAGACCCTTAAGAATTATGCTAAGTCTACTCTGCCTGTGCTCTATAAATGGAACAACAAAGCCTGGATGATAGGACATCTGTTTACAGCATGATTTACTAAATATTTTAAATCTACTGTTGAGACCTCAGAAAAAAAGATTTCCTTTCAAAATATTACTGATCATTGACAATGCACCTTGTCAGCCAAGAGCTCTGATGGAGATGTATAAAGAGGTTATGTTGTTTTCATGCCTGCTAACACAATATCCATTCTTCAGTCCATGGATCAAGCAGCAATTTCTACTTTCAACTCTATTATTTAAGAAATACATTTCATAAGGCTTTAGCTGCCATAGGAAAGTGATTCCCCTGATGGATCTGGGAAAAATAAATTGAAAACCTTCTGGAAAGGATTCACCATTCTAGATGCCATTAAGAATATTCATGATTCATGGGATAAGGTCAAAATATCAACATTAATAGGAG